CATGTCCTATGAATCTATCCTGCTGCCCTGTCAAGTCATACGAGCTCCTGCTAAGAACGTGATGAGTATGAAAGTTAGAGAGCATTCCTTTCCAGGTCAGGTGATTTTTGGTTTTTAATTTATCACAAAACTTTGTATATATCCCCCTTTTCGTAAGAAGCCTCGTCTGCCTTAAAATGCCTAAGCCTAATGACAGTTTACTGTACAAGGTTTAATTTCGGGTAAATTTCAAGAAGAGACTAAAATTGAGTGCAGGAAAATATGAGAAATCAGTTTAATCTTGGTTCAATGATCTGTTTGTATTTGACACTACCACAACCACAGTGTGTGTTTGACATTTTTTAGCTTTACCTAATATTGAAATGCAAAGAAGTAAGACAATGGTTATCTCAAATAATAATTAAACGGTAGCTTATAGGGAAAAAAGAAAAACAATAAAAGGTATCGTCTAGGTTGTTGTGATTTTTAATTTTTTTTGTCTTTTCTGTGTGGAAACGTGGAAATTTTTTTTTTTAGTTTTCGTTTTTTAGTTTTTTTTTTCAACAACCTATTCGATAACTTTAATGCCCCCACTTGGGTTATAGGCCTACGTTACTAAGCCCGGCTGTTTGTTTCCTACTAAACTCATGGATGTTATAAAGAGAAGCATCTTCTTGAATACTGTCGATGTGGGACAAAAGCTGATGCCGAAATTGGTAAAGCGAAAGTCATCATACTACGGTTACATCACTTATCTGAAGGCATAATAAAAATTCTGCATCACTGACACAGTGAAAGCATATGGATTGAAGTTAGCATTAATGATAATTGATTAAAACAGTGTACATTATATAGAAAGAACCGCAGTTGTAAAATGTTGAAACAACAGCAAAGATACGAGATTTCGATGATGAAGAGAGAAAACAAAATGAAAATCAGATGTTTTGTTAGAAACACTTACTTTCCATCGAATTAGAATTCTTTATAAATTTGCAATCTCTTGATGAACAGACATTTATTGGTTTCACTTATGACTTTAGCTTATAAAGATGAAGCTAAATTTGCTAATTGGACATGCCTTATAATATCACTCCAAAGATTATTTTGGGAGACCAGTATTATTGTGTAACGATAATGTGATAGTTATTAGTAAGCTTTACTTCTGTCAACTAGAATTCAAGTGAAAGTAGAACCTTTAGCTTTCTGGAATATGGTGTATAATCTTTCGTGTGCAATGCATTAATGTTCTTTTAAACTAGAAAATAAGCTTTTTTTTATATATCAAGACTTAGATCAATATGTATGTTATCTTGAGATATTCGCACAAATAGTTATCTCAATGTTCTCGAGCTTTTTGGTTTACTTTTCTGTAAATTACTCACTCTAGTAGTGGATTTAAACATGAAAAATTAAAAAAGAAAAGAGGCATCAACCGTGAACATAGGATTACCTTTTAAGGATGGGTTCAGAGTCTTACTCTCGTCATGCTTTGCATTTCCACGGCAGAGTTTCGTACCAGATTAAGACTCATTTTTACTTTTTACTTCTATACAGCATTCTTTGCTATCATCATGTAATTGCTTTCATAATTTTGTCCATTGTTAAAACAGTAAAGGGTCTTTTGGTGCCATTAAACCATAGAAATTGGGAGGCTATGATGCATCGAGACGGACATGTGTGTCGGATACGTCGACAATTGATTTTTCAAAAAAGTATTGACATGACACGTTATCGACACGTTGATTAAGTCATTTAAAATTCTTCATTTATATATTATAAATTCAGTTTTATGCTTGTTTTAAATTTTTCTTATTGAAATCTTTTAAATATGAATATCTATTGTTATTTGCAAAAAATTTTAAGTTTATAATATTTTTAGTAAAAAAGGAAAAATGATTATGGTAGAGTATCTGAAAAGTGTCAGTATCGACACGTGTCAGAGACGCTACCTTAGTTGAAGTGTCCGTGTTACAGAGTTGGGGAGCTTGGTGGTTGATGGAAACCAATTTCTACTACCGCTGGCCAGGGGTTTGGACAGAAAACTTTCTGCAGCTGTGGATGAGTTTTCGTTAATGTTCTGTTTCTTTTATCATTTTCTTGCAACCGAATGCATCAGATTCCTTTTTCTTGGGGTTCAGCGTGTAGGAAAATGTAAAATGGGAAATCAGCAGAGTCTATGTAATTCTTTCTCCTCGTCTTTGTCTAAGTCTTCTAGCTGCTGCTGTCACTGCAGCTTCATTGCAGGGTGCAATGGAATTGTTAATCACATGCATGCTCTTAATTTGTCCTATTTTAAAATATAAATGGCGTCCTATTTTCTTTAAAGATTTAGTTGCTTTATATCTCACATTAGATCTAGTAATAAACCAAACAGATACTGGCCCAAAATTTATTGGAAACGGGTTTATTTGTTGTTGTCGGACCTATTTGATTCTATGCCATTAACATTAGGTTGCTTTCAATGGCTTGGTTAAGAGAATAATGATAAGTATCAATCTATATATGCCCGTATTTTTTGATTCTATATTAATCGGAACAGAGTAATGTAAAAAAGAGACAATTAAACAAAAACCTCGTGTTGAAATATCTATTTAACAGAGCAGAGGAATGTGAAGGAAGAGGATAAATAAATAAACTCCTATTAATTTTGATATCCCTACATGTAAGAACCAAAAAACTATGACTTTGACTAAGAAGGAGAAAATGATCAAACTAACTTTCTCTTAGTGCAGGTAGAAGTCCAGCAGCAACAAGCCCAGAATAATCAGAATTCCATGTTTGCCAGAGGAAAGACGACAGGTCACACTATTAGTCTTTGTGTGATTGTACCCTGGAAAATTTTGGCCACTGCCGGTTGGGGGACTGTTACTGCTCGGTGTAGAAGGGTTGCTTTGGACCATGATCAAAACTTTCTGTCCAGCTTGGCAGTTGCCTGGGAAGCTACAAATGAAGTGAAAATTTCCGAAGGCCGGAAGCAAATTCAATCGCTTCCACTGTTGAAGCTGGAAAGTGGTGTTGAGCAGTGCCGGCCCTCACTTGCCTTGGGCCTCAAATTGTAGGGGGCCTCATCTGTTATAAAAAAATAATAATAATAATAAATAAATAAAATTGGCACAAGAAAACGAACCACCTTTCTCCATAAATTATTTTTATTCCGTTTTAATCGTCTTCGTCTTCTCCACCACAAGGCAAAAGGTAGAATAAATCCCTAAAATTAAAACTACCATCTACCATGACAAGTCCGACTGCAAAAATTCGGCGACATTGGCAGACGGCACAGCAGGTTGGGCTTCTTCTTCACTTTTATAATTTGAGTAACTTAGTTTGTAGGTTTCCAGTCTGGCAGTCCCGATTAGAGATTCCATCCTTGCTTGCTTTCAATGCTTTGCCTTTGGCTCTTTGAGTAATGATTTCTATCTTCTGATTTCTCATTTTTGGTTCCATAATTAAACTTATTATCTTCTCATTTTTGGTTCCGTAATTAAAGTTATAATGTTCCATAATTAAACTGGTTCCAGACTTCACCATGGCATTGAATAGATTAAACTTATTAAAGGTAATTTCAAGTTTTCGTGAATCAATAAATGGGATTGGATGTTTTCTAATTTGAGTTTGTCAGTAACTTATTAATGTTTTGGAAATGAGATTCTAATTTTGGTGATATGTTGATTCTATTGCCACTGATTCACACAAAAAGCATTTACAAGTGATTGGGACAAGGATTTGAAAAGCTTATGAGCAATTTGTGTTTTGATTCTTTGCAACAGCCAACAGGTACTTTCCCTCTCTCTATAGATACGTGTCTGTGATTCTATCTGTGTGTGTGGACTGGATAATCTTCATCATAAGTATGTGTGGTTGAAAATTTTAGTGTTAATGGTCATTTTTCAATAATGAATTGATAGAATTACTCTTGAAAATGATGTGGTATTTTGCTTTAATTTTCTATTGCAAATACAAGTGATTGAAGAGAAGTAATGGTTATGAAAGTGATTAAGTGAAAGTACATCTTATTAGTTATTTAGTTCATTTTCTTATCATCTTATGCCTTTTTTTTCTTTAAATTTAATTTGGATAAAAATGCTCTAATCATGTTCCATATATTTTGAATAAAAGTGCTCTAATTATATTCCATATCATCTTACAGTCGTATTGTCTACTTCAATCACCATCGCAACCACCAATTTCTGAATCCTTTCATTTTGGGACTCATCAATCAGGTTTTATCGCTCTTTACTTGTCAGTACGTCTACGCGAAAATTTGAATCTGGATGTGCCAAAAGAAAAAGGAAAGAAAAGATTGAAAAGTTGATTAAATCTCAAGAGGGAGCACTTAATAAGTTTTTTAGTAATAGTAAACGAACACACAACGATGATGCAGTTATTGAAGAAGTATTAAATGAGAATGACAACAATAATAATACAATTGAAGAAGGACATTGTGTGATGAATGAAGATGTATCTACTGACAAAGATAATGAACCATTTTCTCTTGACCTTGTTGATCTAGCAAATTGGGGAAATATGAATACGAATTTAAGAGATTTAATTGTAATAATGGTCATGTAAGAGAAAATGATATGATTTTTCCAGAAGATGGAGCGAATCAACACTTCTCATCCATACATTACGTTCAACGATTACATAATAGAGAGAAGCATGCTAGAAAATGGTTGATATATTCAAAAAGTTTGGATAAAGTATTTTACTTTTGTTGTAAGCTATTCAAGAATGATGAGATCAGAACTCAATTGGCACATGATGGAGTAAATGACAGGAAAAATATTGGTGAAAAACTTAAAATGCATGAAGTAAATTGTGACCACATCAATAACATGAGTAAATGGATAGAAATGGAATTAAGATTTGAAAAGAGAAAAACAATTGACAAAAGTGTGCAAGAACAAATAATAGAGATAGAGAACATCAGATACAAGTATTACTGAATAATATCTGTGGTGAAAACTCTCGCTGAGAATAATTTAGCGTTTCATGGAGATAATGAGAAGATATATCAAGAAAATAATGGTATCTTCTTAAGCATATTTCAAATGATTGTTGAATTCGACCCCATAATGCAAGAGCATGTTTGTCGACTAAAAAATAAAGAGATTCATTATCATTATCTATGACACAAAATTCAGAATGAGTTGATACTTATGTTAACGGGCGAGATGAAAAATAATACTTATTGAGAAACTCAAAATTTCTAAATATTTTTCTGTTATACTTGATTGCACTCCAGATACAAGTCATGAAGAACAAAAATCAATAATATTGAGGTGTGTAGATATTTCGACAAGTCTAGTGAAGGTTGAAGAATTCT